ATTTTATCACTTGTTGTTCATGGCAAAATAAATCGATATGTAAAAAATTCTTGAATTCTAATAAACATACGTAGGTGTCACTCAGTATATGTTCTGAACATGATTTGAACATTTTACTGAACAAAGCTATCAATCTGTCCCTAGTTATAAGCATTGTGTGTTGGGTTAAAGCTTTCATGGGTCTACCTCAGCATCTTAAAGTTAATTATTAATAATAATTAATTTTTGTGTTTTATACGTATACGAGAGATTGACACCTTTGACCGTTTCTCTACTACATTTTTAGAATTTTTTCGATAACTGACACCATCTGGTCTTACGAATTCTGAGTTGACACACTGTGAAGTGGAAAGAGAGCCTTAGTATTATTTATGTTATAACTACATGTGGCATTTCTAATTTAAAACAGAATATATATTAGCAAAAATGAAATACGGTCATTTGGACCAATTCCACTGATGCAGAAATGAAATGCAGTCTCCGACGTTTAAAGCATTAAATGACGTTCACTAGGTGAAGGAAATGAGAAACATAAAAAACGCCGTCGGACAATTTGAACCGCTTTCTAATTTCTAAATATAAATGAGTCAGTAAAACATTGGAATAACTATGGCTGTACCATTCCGTGTAATAGTGGTTTGATAATGAATTCAGCATGGTTTATTTATTACTCATGTACATTGTTAGGGTGGTTTCAAAAACATTAATTAGCGTTTTGTTTATTTAACTTTCTCTATAGTTATGGAGCACGGTGTCTTGATCTTGAGGATTCAACGTTTCGATCATTACGCTCCAGCTCTAATTCTCTTGTATCTAATTAAAATAAATTCAATAAGTCTATAGGCGAAAGCATATATGTAAATTGCTCCAATTTGAATCAACCAAAATTGAGGTATATTAACTCAAATCACCTTAGCGAAATTTCCAGTAGTTTATCAAAAATATTTTTTTATGGGTGCTCTTTTGCCCAAAAAATTGTTATGCCCTACATAACCGTGATTTTTTATAGATATGTGGAACGTATACTCGTATGTTCAAGAAAAAAGGATTTTGCAGCTGTTTTTCTAATTTTTACTTAGGTTATGACAATTTCGTGAACTTAAAAATCCACCGTATATCAGTGTTTGTTGCGTTTTTTTCCAAATATACTAACAAAATTCAATATTTTCCCCAAAAAACTGCCAAAAATACTGCATTTTCACTGATTTTATCCTAGTTTTGAAATCATAAACATTGTTTTGCCCATTGCTTCAAGTTCAATAGTCAGAACTTTGATGTGTCTCCCGGAAAATTGTGAAACTAGAAAAAACGTATTTTTGCTGGTTTTTTTATGTCTTTGGTCAGGAAAAAATCATAACTTCGCTAGCTCAAAAACTGGAACTACGCATATATGTATAGTAGGTTTTTGAGTGATCCATACATACTTTTAATAACCTAAAATAGCAAAAGTTGAAGAAAATCAACGAAAATGCGATTACGATCACGAATCAAAATTTTGACAACGGAACTGAAATAAATGTAGAAAAATCCAAACATGCAGTGGGTTACTGTGTTAGCCAAGCATTCCTTTCCTAACCAAAAATTGTAGAACATCAAATTTCAATTTTTAACAATAAAAGCTGAAGGAATGCACAAAAATATATACGTGCATATTTTGCATTAAAAATACCTAAAATTGCTTTAAAATATGTTTAAATATGCCGATTTCTAAAGGGTGATTCATTAGGCGACGGCAACACAAACATTTTTTAAACCCTGCATGTTTTTAATATATTCTGAAAGGTACTTTTGGAGCTACAGTATACTTTGTTCGAAAAAACAGTCAATTTTGACAAATGTAGGTCAACGATTTTAAAGCTTATGCATCATCCGTTTTAAAGTTATATAAGCTATATTTTGGTGTAGCATTTTTGGGGGGGTTAAATCACTGAGTTATTTGCAGTTATCAAGAAATTACATTTCAAAATAGATAAATACCCTTAAATACTTAATACTAAAACCATAAATATATGTGTTCCATTTGAAGTACATTTTGCGTTAATAAACACATTTATAGATGATGCACGAGATTATAGAAAGTATGGGATATGAAGGTCATTTCGACGAATCGTTTTCTAATCTTTCTGCAAAAATGAATGACTCAAATAGACAGTGGAACTAAGTCGAAGAATTTCTCTACTTATGGTGAGTGGTCTAAAATTAGACATTCAATAATTTCCTTAAAAATCTCTAATATGGACATAGATATCACATACATTGTATGACTGTAGGGCAAGCAAAAAAGTCCATAGCATGCCCATACAAGCGTCGAACGCTGCAACCATTGAACAAATGTAGAGAGTCGCTCAAACTTCTGGTTGGGATTCTGGGCCATTATAGATCAAACAGACATGTGCCCCTCATGGGAATGGAAAAAGATTCTATCTGTTCTAAATGCTGGGGAGAGGATTAAACATCATACATGTGAAATATCATCGACCACGTCTTGTGTGAAGTCAGTGTGAAAATCAGTCGTAGAGAATATTTGCGACTCAAATATGAACTATGGCACGTTGTAGATGAATCCCGTTATTTCTACTTGGGATATTAATACTGTAATAAATACATAACAGTACATTTATATGTTTTTGTAAAAGTGCCCAATAATATTTCTTCATATTCGCATTCTTCTTGCTTGGTCATTCATTCATCAACTTGCCATATTTCAAAAATTATCAAAAGGGCAACATCCACTTATTCTGTATTCTGTATAGAAGGAAGGGTAGTCAGCCAAGATCATAGCACTTAGCCCTATATGGCCTCCAGGGATCACCCAGGGCTGGAAACTATTGAAAAAGTTTGCGCTAGCCATGACTGATGAATGGAAGTCTAGTACTGCTGTCGCTTTGAGCTTGCAACACTTGAGAGTCAGTACTGCTTGTCTGCTGTTCGTGTATGTCCCTAATATTTTTTTTGTAACATTTCTGTGGGCTTCAACAGTACACTCCACAGCCAGCCCTACGATTTTTATCAGTCCCGTCTAAAAAAACGTTAATATCTTCCGCGATCTTGTTTTCAGAATTTGTGGTAATAGAATAGGGTCCATCAAAGATGAGCGTTAACAATATATATAGATTGCTACTTGTCCAAAATAAATTAAATTACTATCGCTGTAATTGCTACTATTAATGGGCACGATTTTACAATTAATTATCACACAGTAGCATAGTGAAATTTTTTTCCAGAAGTTTCATGGCAAACATAAATAACCAGCTTGGACATTTCACCCGAAGCATGTGTTTATGACCTAGTTTCCATTCTAAACGCTTTCAAGAGTAGTAGATCGTATCATTGATCGCCTTATCAATTATGTTTGCCTTCAAGTCACACCAGCGCTTATCTACCACTTCGTATAAAGTATCAGGGCATCTGAGCGGGGTTTTCGGTTCTAGAAATAACTCAAATTTAAGCCTGACCGCACCAATGAAATTTTTGTCTTTAAATATTTTATAATACACTCGTATGTACTTCAATATGTTCCTTTTATTTTAGTATTTGATTGTTTTTTGAAATTTCGGAATTTTAGCATATTTATCCAAAATTATTATATGACTGCTTATTAAAATTCTTAAATATTGGAAAGTGGGTGAATTTGGACAAAAATGCCAAAACTGTAATTTTGGGCTTTAAAAAAACAATCAAGTACTAAGATAAAAAAATGGTGATGAAAGTTCAAAATACGTATGTTCTAATGTATTTGAATGCCAAAAATGAAGTTTGAGCTCTTTTAGTGCCCAAAAACTCCTCTTATAGACCCTGACACTCTTTAACATAGCATGATAGAAAAACTCTAAATGAAAAATCGATACGGCTTTTAGAATACTGAAAATTGAGTTTTCAAATCACCCGCATATGCAAATCATAACCATCTTAAGAACTGGCCGATACGACCGCTTCTTTATCCCTAGGGTGTCGAGACTGTGGAACAATCTACAAGTTCTACTAACATTAGGCAGTTCAAAAATCGGATTAGCAAAGTTTCTTTGAATCCTCATAGCATCCACGGTGCCCTGGCATTTAGGCTTCTGCCTGCGCGTCTGGTTCGTTGTAAAAAAAAACATGAATACCTCCACGCTTGACAGTCTGAAACCGTCTACCAGCTACGGACAATCACAGCATCTATATCCAAAAGAAATATGTTTTTGATCTATGTTTATTTTTTTTTCTGTAATCTGTTATACTTCCGTAATTCTCATTAATTGAATTATTGTGTCCATTATTTTTATTTTTTTATCCAATTTGGATTTAATGTACGTTCATGTATTATTGTCTGTAATTGGGAGACTGTTGGGCAATAAAGATTATTATTATTATATTCGGGATTCGAACCCGCACAGCTCTCGCAACTGATAAGTAGACACGTATCGTTTACCACTGAGCCACCGCTGCTGCTCTATTTGGTGTAACGTGTGATATTGCGACTCATGAGCTTGCAGACAACCAGGAGTAGTACTGGACGAACATGCACGAACTTAACTTGAAGCTTTACCGTACGGAGTGCAACCCTGTAGAGTCGAATAAGGGAAAGTTTGACGGTCCATAGGTCCGAGCACCGGGCCAAGGCCATGAAGCCTTGGTGGAATATGCACATAGAGGTTTTCGTATTTTTTGTCGTTATGAATAGAACATCAAGACCACCTGGTGTTCCATAAGACAACTTTTGCCTTGTTTTGATTTATAATTGGTTATTTTTTAACCATAAATGTTACAAAATTGTACGATTTTAAATTTTCAAAATTCAAATCTCAAAAATCGTATATGAGTAGATGTGTATCTATTGAGGAGCTTAAAGCTAATTCGCCTTATTTTTGAGGCTTATGGTTATTGTTGTCTGATATGCAAAGAATTTTTCGCGAATACGTGGGCTTAGCACACTTGTTTTCCAATTTATGTATGAGGTTATAACGGGACACGTAACTGGTACTCTTTAATAAATTGTGTTCATTTGCTTGTTTACTTACGTGAGAATAATCCGAAAACGTATGTCATTCACGAGAACACACACCAAATAATTTTAATCCCAAATGCACTATATGCGTCCGTCCTGAGGTCCTGAGCTCCTGACACTGTCACTTGAAACGCGCTACTCAATCTAAAGCACGCGAGATTTGACTGTTCCTCAGACGTAGGTCCGTTTCCCTTTTTTTTTGTAAAAAATGCACGCAAAACACGTCGGTCACTGGGTGAAAAGTAATACATTGAAAAGATGCGTTGGTTTTATATTCACGTGAAAGTTTACCCCACTCTCTACAAGCATGCCGCAGTGGAACGACGGTATAGCACAGTCCTTTTAGCCTCTTTATTCCAGACGGCCGGCGAAACAAATGAAAGACGCCAATTTAGGGGACAATTATAATTGAATCCCTATAATCAATTTCAATTCTTCAGGAAACAATAAAAACCTTTAGCAAAAAATAATATTATATCTTATTTTGTGCTCATTATTGAGAATTACACTTCAATATTGACCTATTAACATGTTATATGGATGTTTTAGTATTTTTAAGTTGCATAGGGGAAAGCCAGGCAGAGCGAACATGAAACTGAATTTCACGTCTACATTGAAAGCATGCATCAGGGAAAAGTACAGTCTGCGAAAACCTTAAGTTCGACCTGAAAAACAAGGTTGAAATTACTCTAAAATAAACTCATCTCAAAATACTCTTCGAGGTCATGTAGATCAAAGTCTTAACCTTAATTTAGATCATATTTGTTTAAACAATTTCTTAAAATAAATTACACTTTTTCCCGGACAATTTTTTTAAAATTTTTTTGATCATTCTGAACAAGAAACGCTTTCATTCACTTTTCTCTAAAGGTGACTCTTTTTCGAGTTATAAGCGACTTAATGTCTGAAAAGCCCTAAAAATCGGTATATTCAATGCCTAAAAATCGGTTACAAATTATAATTTTGAAGGTCTCCAAGTATCCAGATTAAAGCTTTAACCATGCTCTACAAATATTTTAAGGTTAGTTTATTTTAAAGCGATGTCAACCTTGTTTTGCAGGCCAAAATTGGCGGACTTTTGGTTTTTGCTGACCAGACAGCAAAATGTATTTTTCAAATAAAAAATTTAATTAATGTTACAACATAAGTGTGCGTATATTTCTATTTTTGTACTATGAGTAAGTAATCTTTACAAATAACACATACTGCACGTGTGACTCTTCTGAAAAGCTCACATTTGTCACTTACAATGTTATTAGATGCAGTCTGGATTCCGTAAAGGGTTTGGTACTACTACGGCTCTGTTGAAGGTTCTAGATGACATTCTTTTGGCTGCGGACAGGGGTGAAACTTCGGCATTGGTGTTGTTGGACTTTAGCAAGGCCTTCGATACCCTGAACCATGCATTGCTGTGTGCAAAACTTTTGTACTATGGATTTAAACTTAAGACTATTCAACTTATTCGTAGTTATTTGGATGACAGATCGCAGTCGGTCTCAATTGATGGGCTTAAATCAAAACCCTTGAACGTGGATAGAGGAGTTCCTCAGGGATCACTTTTGGGTCCTTTATTTTTTATCATTTTTACTGCTGATATGTCGAAGTGCTTTGGTGACATAAACAATCATAGATACGCTGACGATACACAGATTCAGCTTTCTTTTGCTAAGTCGGACGCAATTGAAGCAGCTACGAGGGTAAACGAGTGTTTGGATTCAGTTTTTAAATACTCTTTTAATCATGGCTTGAAATTGAATCCTAATAAATCAGCCATAATCTACTTTGGGCCAGCTAAAGATTGGGCGTCTGTAAACTTGGTGATAGCAATGGATGGTGTGGCAATACCGGTTGTTGAGGAATATAAAAATTTGGGCGTTATCTTTGATAACAAGCTTAGATTCCGAAGTCATCTGTCTAGGCTTCTACAAAAAGCCTATTTTAACCTTCGCAATATTTACAAAAGTAAAGATATTCTTAGTTTTAAGTTAAAAAAGGTTCTCTGCGAAGCACTGGTGTTGTGTCACCTTAACTATTGCAACTTTGTGTATGGTCCTTGCTTAGATGTATTTACTAAGGATAAACTCCAAAAAGCGCAGAATTCTTGCATACGACTTATTAACCAGCTTAGACGTCACGATCATGTCAGTCATAAACTTTCCGAACTGAAATGGTTGAATGTTTCCAATCGAGAAAAGCTGCATTTTGCTTGCTTTCTTCATAAATTGATTAAAACTAAAAGCCCTCCATATCTGTTTGAAAAATTAACTCGTAGAAATCTGATTCACTCTCGTGCAACACGCTTTAATGTACTTTATGAAATACCTAAAATAACTAAAACCATGACTCAAAACTCATTTTCCTATACATCAGTCAAACTTCTAAACCAATACAATATAGGTCAATTTGAAGATATGTCTCCTAATATGTTCAAACGAAAACTGAAACAACTGCTTCTGTGAAGTATAAGTTGTTTATTATTGCTTATTTGCTTTGTATACGTACATCTGTTGTTATTATTGTTCATTGTTGTTATGTAATATTCTAAAATTAATGTAATGTAAAACTTGTTTCTTGTCATATTACTTTTCTTTTTGGCTTGTTGTTACTTTTTACATGCTCGGTTAAGTTAACAGCACAGCTGGCCTTCGCCGAGTTTAAAATAAAGACGTTTTTATTTATTTATTTATTTATTAGATGGCTCTATCGACATGTTGTGCAACATGCGATTGGTACTTATACTTTGATATCTGTAACATTTTTTTCCGTATAAGGGTGCGAGGCACAAATTGAAATGTCCACAGCGCAAGTTGCACCACATGTTGCGCTTCGCTGTCGTTTGACGCATTTTTGTCCTCAGCATGTTGCACGCTGCACAAATTCCTGGTACATGAATCAGCCGCGCAGGCAGTACCCTGAATACCAGAGCACCGCGGATGCTATGAGAATCTTAAAGAAACTGCGCTAGTCCGATTTTTGAATTGCCAAAGGATCGATCAGCCGGACAGCCCTCTTCTGAACAGCATTGAGTATGGATAATGTAGTTGGGGCAGCGGCACCTCAAACACGTGAGCAGTGGGGCTAGGTCTTATCTGGGTTTTATCTTAGCCTTAAACAAGTAGCCTAGCTTTTTCCCAACAGCATCCGCCATTGATGAGATGTGTTCGTGCCAGATCAAGTCCTCGCTGATCTGGCGTCGATCCATGGAAATCAGATGAGCGCTAGGGCGTTTTTTGTTAGTCAATGTTTTGGAAGCCTTAAACTGTACCAGATTGTCCCCAAGCAGTGATAACCTGCAGCTCTCTCGTCAGAGAGGAAGTCGCTGCTGGTTTTCTTTTCTCCAGCTCACGGGCAGATATGCGCTTGGTACTCTAAATTCCTGCGGAGGTCGTTGATATCTAAGTGGAACAATGTTGGAGAGGAGACAGATCCCTGGAGAACACCTGCGTTGACATTGTGGGCTGAATAGGAGAATCCGTCAATTACGATGGATATCTCAGAGAGGAAGTTAGGCGCTCATCAGCAAAGCTAGAGCTAAGAGGCCAGCATGCCACACCTGATCGAACGCTTTTGTGATATTAAGAGCAACGACATGAGCCTCACCATCACCACATTTGTAATAACTAAAATTTATCTCAAGATCGTCTCACTTTTTGTCGTTTGCCGTATCTAAATGCGCTGGTCTATAAGAATAAGCTTTCGGAGCGTATGTTCGAGTAGCCGAGCGCCAGCCCGAGTCCGTGTGCGCTATATCCGGAGTTACCGGAGACGGAGACCGGAGCTAGCATGCCAGTTGACGCATTTTTCACTTTCCTTTTAGGCAGACCATTCACGATCATAATTTCTCACTTGGATTTCGCGGAGCGGAGGAGTCCATGCTTGGTGGTATGCTTATATTATTTAGAACCGTTTTGTTTCGCTGTTGTAGGTTGTAATATTTGTTGTTCACAGGAGGTTTCCAAAACATGGGACAAAAAATCTATCCATGATTCTTTGGACTTCCAAGACTATGAGGATTGATCCCTATATGCTTCGCTTCTTTACTTATTTGCTGAGACTTGCTGACAGTAAAATAAGTGATCTTAATAGGCTAGGTTTACATATTATATAGCTTATAAGAAAAACTGTATTGACGTTATGTGCTTTTTGGTTCATGTATGGTAAGTACTTAAGCTCATCAAAAAGATTGTGGCGACTGCTGGAGGGTCCGCAGTTTCTTATTACTTAGTCAAATGCTGGTTTCGATATTTTAATTCACTGTCGTCGTCCAAAACGCAATGATAACGTTGGACCTAAGCATTAGAAAAGTGCATGATATGGTGTTACAAGACGAACGTGTAGCATTACAGAGACATATTATGTAAGCGTAATCTAATAATTGCAAGATTCTTTTAAAAACAAACCTCGGAGGATGTTAGCAAGTGGTGTGCTTTTTCATCAGGGGAATGCTCCCAACCATACTTCTTCGATAGCCACAGCTGTTCTCTACTAAGCAGGCTTTCGCTACCAACAGCAAATCCAGTGTCAGGGAGGTTTGCTGGCCTCTGCGATGGCATCCAATCCCTAACTTGAGTTTGCTCGGGAAAGCCTCAACCCCACCTTCAACATCTCCGAGATGTGAAATGTGTGTTTTAGGGCTTAATAACGACTGTATGTTTGCACACGTTTGCGCTTAAGGTTGATTGTTATTTGACGATATCTTTTTCAATGGGTTACATCCTTTTGGACTGAAGCAGGGAGGAGAGGCATCAGATTGTTAAAAATAATGCATTACATCCTGGTATGCCATGATTAGCCGAGCACTTTTGCGAGGAAAGTAATGGCCAAGTTATGTATAGAACTTTTTCACCGCTAAGTGTGATATACGACATTTGGCTTGAATAGAGTTTAAAATAGTAATAATAATAATAAACGTGTAACGATAGTGGCGAAATGTAGCAATATGCTACTCTAACACTTAACCACTAAAGTTAAATATTACGTTGTTAACAGTTAACAGAAACAAAACGCAAAATTTATATAACAAATCACTAATAACCCATATGAGAAGTGAAAAATGAGATATTTTGTGTGCACATACTGCTACTCTAAAAAGATGTATGAAATATTGAGGGAAAAGTTAATCCATAGAATTATATATTGTTGCAACGTTATATGAGAAACTTCGTTAAAACAGAGATGTTGTATACTTCGGAATTCTGATAACGTGCCTATCTCTAATAGCTCTATCG